CACTCATGTATAGCCAGCTAGCTACAGCTAGGTAGTTGACTGTACATCCATAGTACAATGTCCTACGGGATTCTCATATTTGTGTTGCAGCGATTCGTTCTGTGTACCGTTTAGGTTCTCGGGTTTCTCTCAGAGAAAAGTTTAAGGAGTCTGGTATCATGACTGTGGCATCACAGTACATTTATTCGAATATTTTGTATGCTCGTCAAAATATACATAATTTCGTTAAGAAAGAAGGTAATCATAATGTTAACCTTAGAACTAAGTCCAAACTCATGTACCACGTTTTCGTTTAACTAACTAACTATACGTTTTTACATAAGATTATCATTTCCTAACTTTAAAACTTACAAAAAAGAAAGAAAAGTCATACTACAAAATTTAAGAGTATGTCTTAGATAAATACGTATGGAAAAACAACATGACTTTAGATTCCACACAATTAGATTCAAAGTGTATTCCATAGCATTTAAGTTTATTTGAAAAGAGCAATCCCTAAAGTTTCTTGCTCTTTCTTCTCAGGGAGATCAGCGCAGTGAACGAGCAGTAGCTTTCAAGTGTAAAAATGTTACCTATGGAATAAATTATTATTTTACTTTGACTTCGAAAAAATGGTCTTCAGCCCTGGAGCAACGATGGGGTCTGCGATGGAACAAGCTCGCTCAGAAGGTACCGATTCAAATTCCGGTTGTATTCATTTCGTTCATTCGTAGTTCATTAAACACTAAAAATATAATACAATGATAATTAATTTAATACTCAATAAGACCGTGAGTTCAAGTTTGGTTTGCTCGATGCTCTGTTGCACCTAAGATAACTCTTTTCGAGGCTTACTGTTCTTCTTTTTACGCGGGTAGCCTGTGGTACCGACATACACAAAAGTCGTACATTGCTCTTCGCACCCAATACAACAATGCTTTTAGGATGCTGTTGCGGCTGCCGAAGGTCTGTAGTGCGTTTGCAATGTTTGCGGAAGCACGGACAGACTCCTTTTTTGCCATACTACGTAAAAGCAGCAACGGCATCTTGAAAATGATTGCTGAGAAAGTGGAGGGACCTCTCATAAGGAACCTCTAGAATTTACGCGATCTTTGTTTAAAATAATGTTCTAACATAATTTATAAGTCTGCTAACTAACGTAAATAGGATTTTCGTTGTCCGAAAATAAATAAATAATTATTATTATATTACATTATATTACACCGCTTACACCGCACCGCACCGCACCGCACCGCAATTACGTTACGTTACGTGACGTGACGTGACGTGACGTGACGTGACGTGACATTACATTATTACTGTTACTGTTACTGCTACTGCTACTGCTACTGCTACTGCTACTGCTACTGCTGCTGCTGCTGCTGCTACTGCTACTGCTACTGCTACTGCTACTGCTACTGCTACTGCTACTGCTACTGCTACAGCTACTGCTACTGCTACTGTTACTGTTACTGTTACTGCTACTGCTACTGCTACTGTTATTATTATTATTTTAATAATACATTAATAATAATAATAAAATAAAACGTTGATTAGGCGACTTTTGTGAGCTTCGGGTGAAAAACAAAATGGAGATTTCATTGTCGACCAGTTCAAAATTCAACGGCGAAAACTGGCCGTTATGGAAATTTCAAACTCAAGTATTATTAAAAGGTCGAGGATTATTTAGCATTGCTTCGGGGACAAGGAAAAAACAAAAGACGACAGTGAAAAAGAACGTGATGAGTGGGATCTGTTGGATGCCAATGCCCAAGAGCTTATTGTCACGCGATTGCAATATGGGCCGCTCGAACACTTCCAGTCATGTGAGACGTCGGCGAAGATGTGGACGAAGTTAAAGCTAGTATATGACAAAGAGTCCAGATGGAAGCTCACAGACTCTGTCATTTGTCAAAAAACTTCTGTTGAAGACTTAGAGGATGGTAAAAAATAAAGGAAGTTGAAGTAGATAGATACTTCAACAGAAGTTTTTTGTCTTGCTTTTGGCACGGACTCTGTCTCCACTTTTATGTCAAAAATTGAAGACATTCGTGTAAGACTGAAATAAGCTGGTCCTCCTATTGATGATAAAGGGGGGGTGTTGGAATTTCAATAAAAGTGGTTTGGTTTCTAAATAGACAATAGTGTCATAAGAAAAATAATATACTACTGCCTTTTTTTGCTTAGATAAATAACCTTAATTAATTTACCTAAAAATTTAATAGTCTTTACCTAAAATTATATTTAAATATATTATTAAAAATTCCAGTAATCCTAAATCTTGCCTAAATTACAACTCTTAGAAACCAAAACGTAAATAAAATAATGAAAATTATTAATAAAATTAGCTTGTACAATTTGCCTGTGACTCAGCTACAGAGGACCACAGAGTACACAAAAAGAACACCTGAACAAAGACGATTATAATACAATTGAAATTCTAAAACATTCCAGAACAACACAACAAACACCAGTTACATAGGTACGTAGTCAAAGTCAAAGTCAAATATTATTTATTCCATAAGTAAAATAAATTTACACTTGAAAACGTCACATTTAAGCTGCTGCTCGTTCACTACGCTGACCTCTCTGACAAAACCGAGCAAGAAACTCTAGGGATTGCTCTTTTCAAATAAACTTAAATGCTATGGAATACACTTTAAATCAAATTTGTGTGGATTCTGGAGCCATGTCGTCTTTCCATACATCTTTATCTAACACGTAGTCTTCAATTTTGTAATATGATTTTTCGTTCAAAATATTTTTAATGTAGTTTTTAATCTTAGGAAATTTAAAAATTAAATTTTTTTTATATTACTTTTTTATGTTTATCGCTTAATATATGCTCCGGAATCTTATTGTAAAAACGTATACAGTTCCGCATAAAAGAGTTGTTTACCTTGGTTAAACGAAATCGTGGTACCATGAGTTTGGACTTAGCTCTAAGGTTAATATTATGGATATCTTCTTTCTTATTGAAATTATGTATATTTTTACGGGCATATAAAATATTTGAGTAAATGTACTGTGATGCCACAGTCATGATACCATGCTCCTTAAACTTATCTCTGAGAGAAACCTGAGAATCGCTCGTTTTTGCAATACAAATATGGTTTGAATATCTGCCGCTTTACCCCACATGAGAATCCCGTAGGACATTATACTATGGAAGTAACTAAAGTAAACTAGTCTAACAGTACTAACATCGGTAAGCTCACGTATTCTGAGGACTGCGTATGCAGCGGAGCTTAATCTGTTGGCCAGGGAAGATATATGTAAAAACCATTGAAGTTTACTATCTAAGGTCACTCCCAAGAAGACTGCTTTATTAACAAGGTCTAACTTTTTTCCGTTTATTTCTATGCTTGGACTAGTCGATTTTACGTTAGGTAATTCAAATTTAACACATTTTGTCTTCTTGACATTAAGCAATAAATTGTTAGCATTAAACCAATAAACTACCTTAGAGAGGGTATCATTAATTTGGTCATAGTTAATGTCATGTCTGTCTGTTTTAAAAATCAAGGATGTGTCATCAGCAAATAACACTATTTCGCAATGGTACTTAACAAAGAATGGCAGATCATTAATATAAATTAGAAATAAAAAAGGTCCAAGTATTGAGCCCTGCGGAACTTTTACCGGAGAATACAAAGAAGTCACTCCATTTATGTCTACTTTCTGAATTATACCGTTGAATTATGACGAGACAAGTTATTATTTTAGTTTATTATTATTTTAGTTAGTGGATTAGACCCCAGTCCAACGGCCCGGGCTTTTACCAAAAGCGCCCGGTTTCGACCTATTTCTACCCAAAATTGTGAACGAAGATCGTAAATAATATTCATTCATTGGACTTGTTTCAGTACTTGAAATTTCCATGGAAATACCTTTCTTTAGAAGAAAAAAAAGCAGTCAATTACAATTATCAAACTTGCAATCTTGTGGATTCTCATTTATTGAAATATTAGCAACAACAAAGGCTTTCATGATGAAAACAATCAAAAGAAATATTTTTACAAGAATATCCTTAAATATGAACAAAAAGTCAATTTATAACAAACATTTCCGGGCGTTAATAGATTTTAACCTGCCTTAACCCCGGTGTTGACAAAGCGCGCTTGCCTCTGACCAATCACCTTCCACATAGGCACAGCTAAATACATAACTTTCATTAATTTTTATTTCCACAAACATTCTCGGAAATGTGCATTACTTTCAAAAAACGAACACAGAAAGTTTCTCATTTATGGACCTTGCGACTTCTTCCCAGCCAAGGTCTGCAAAGTACGTATGAAAATCCATTACTGTCCGCTGTTCTAAACTTTTGAATCCATCTATTACTATTGAACTATGTAAATATGTAAACAGAGAAAAGAAAAACTTATACAGCCAACTGCCAAGTACTCGTAACAGCGAGAATTAAAAATACCTACCTATTTATATATCGCTTACTATAAAAAAAAGAAAATTGTGGTAAAATAAAGTGCTTTGGTATTTTGTTTTTCGTTTGGTCCTAACATGTCAAATATTACGTTTAATTTCAATTAATACCTTTTACTTTTTCTTACATCTTATCTTTAGTCTTTTATTATTTTCTCACAATGTTTAAGAATAGCACTATACATCCCTCGGCGGAAGACGCATTGCTTGACTCATATTAATGCAAGGG